AACCCGATCCCTTGGATCAGAGCGTATATGTAATATGATTGTCTAATGGGTCTTTTAAAGCCATATTTTTTCTTCAGTCAACCCGATCCCTTGGATCAGAGCGTATATGTAATATGATTGTCTAATGGGTCTTTTAAAGCCATATTTTTTCTTCAGTCAACCCGATCCCTTGGATCAGAGCGTATATGTAATATGATTGTCTAATGGGTCTTTTAAAGCCATATTTTTTCTTCAGTCAACCCCAATCCCTTGGATCAGAGCGTATATGTAATATGATTGTCTAATGAGTCTTTTAAAGCCATATTTTTTCTTCAGTTAACCCCGATCCCTTGGATCAGAGCGTATATGTAATATGATTGTCTAATGGGTCTTTTAAAACCATATTTTTTCATCCCATGTTTTATTTCGATACAGAAGATTTCATTGCGTTTGTTTTTAAGCAAAGGAGACTGAATACAATGCATTGTTGGTAAAAAGTATTTGGGTTTCGATGCAATAGGAGTATCCAGCACAACAGAGCGCTCGGGTTCGCTATGTAGTCGCGGGGATTTTTTTTCACTGGATGCCACCGTTTCCTGTCATTTTACTGAGCGCAAGAAAATACCACTACCAAAGTGAGCGCTCTTTAACAGTTGTCATTTATTTGATATGATACAATAAAATCATGCATGTATATAATACTGACATAAAAATATAAACTGAAGAGCAATAAATTCTACTCAAGCACGTTCTTCTCTTTATGTGTTTTTTCGTTCATGTCCCTATCTTCGAAATATTTCTTTCAGTCAGTCGATGGAAAAAAAATCTCGTTTGTTTCTTTTTCGTGAAATTCCTTCCCAAAAAGAAAAACTTTTGTTCTTAATAAGTTTTTTTGTTTTTTCAGATTGATCGTTCAATACATACGAAGACTGACAGATCGACGTTGGTATCGATTTGAAATTTTAGTAATTGCAAAAAAAATGAATAATTTTCCTGTCATGTACTCTTGAAAAGAAGCATTTTGATATATAATTTTCTTTCTACGATTAACTGCTCAGGAGATACAGAGTGTGACTGACAGACAGACATTTGGGTATTATATATA